GCTAATGCATAATGGGCGGTCGAAGTGGAAAGGTATCTCTCCGGTACCTGGCATTACAGATTACACGTGGCCTGGCAAAATGACACTTCTGTCAGATCCAGCCCTTATAACAAATGACTTTGTTGCCGCTAGCATAGAGGCCAAAATCTTTCTCTGATGTTGCCTCCTAACATTCTGAAGTTTACTGCCTTTGGATTTTGGTAGTTCTGGGAGGGTAGCCATGTTGGTCTAAAGCAGAAGAACTAAAGCCGATTCCTGTAACATCTTGATGGTGGAAAGTGGTGTCCGGTCGCAGCCAACTTATGCTGACCCCATAGGATTTTCAAAGCAAGAGACAAACAGAGGTGATTTGCCGTTACTTGCCTCTGTGTAGCAACCCTGGGCTTCCTTGGTGGTCTCCCATCTAAGTACTAACCAGGGCTGACCCTAGGGTTGCCAAGTCTTCTTACCTTGGCAGCGGGGGAGCCTCGCCGGGCTCTGAGAGCTCTTTGGTGGTGCGCGCACACGAAGCGCACACGCGCCGCCAGCACGTCACAGGAAGTGACGTGCTACGTCGTAACGTTCAGGGCATGGCCCAGATCGTCAGAGGGAAAACCATCGAGTTTTCCCTCCGACGATCTGGGCCACGCCCCCAACGTGAGCAATGTGGCTGTGTCACCAGAGGTGCTGCGCTTCGGGGGGTGGAGTCCCCCCCGGGGCCCGATTCCACGGCGGCAAAAATTGGGCCTCCAAAGCATGGGTTTCCCCGCCCCCCGCCCCCACTTGGCAGCCCTAGCTGACCCTGCTTAGCTTCTGAGATCTAATGAGATTGGGCTAGCTGGGCCTATCCAGCTGAAGGCAGCACCTTAGACTGCTGAAGCGGCCTGCCCGCCAGGTTGGCAGCGAGCACCCTGCCTATCTATTCGTCCGCCATGCAGGCAACAAGCACCCTGCCCACCTGCTCACTGTGCCGGTGGCAAGCATTTCACCACACCACTGAGCGCTTCACCCGCTTGCTACGCTTGGGTCACCCATTAGCAGCAGTGGCTCAGACCTGCCTTGTATGGGGCGCATGGACTTTTGCCCACAGTCTCAAAATCAGTTAGACTACCCCTTTCTCCACTTCCAGGATACTGTAAGCTTTTACAGGCCTGAGCAGACCAATTTCCACGTCCTCCCCTTTGTTCACCCCCTCGTGTTAACTGATGGCAACCTCACTCCGTCTTCTGTGTCTCCCAGAGTCTGCTCAGTCCCTATCGGGTCACTCGCTCCTACTTTAAATTTACAAACCACTACTTTTCTTCATCATCTGGGTACACACTGTTGTGATTCACTTATTATGGTAAGTCTGGCCTAGATGAGTTTGATCTAGAGTGTCAGTGAAGTGACAGTCAGAGACAGCATGTGACTGCTAGGAGGCTGTCCAGAACTGGTTTGAGGCAGTGCAGCCTGGCACTAAAGGTATTGCAGGAGGTTGCATCAGCTGTGTGCTGATTGGCCAGCAGTTGTATATATGTACAGAGTGTACAGTGGACTTTTTCCTTCTCATGTATCATTTGCAGCGGAGCACTCTGACACTCAGAACTGTATATAGGTGGTGGCTGGGTGAGAATAAACTCACAGTGGTTGCACCTAAGTTCCTGACTCCAGTCGTCTGTGGGTACTCTATCTCCTTTGGGCACTAACGTGCCAGCCAGCATTCCGCGCGGACTGCGACACACACAGCCCCAGCATTCTCTGCAGGTGGCCTCATGTCACTGCCGAACACATCGGGTTAGAATAAGGAAAAGAGAGAACGTCTGTGGGATGACCCAATTAATTATGAGGGCAAAGCTCTTCAGTCAAAATACATAAAGCTCAAACATTATAGAACATATAAGTCCATGCAAAAGGTCCAAAGGGATCCACCAAAAGAAGATCGGATAACAACGATGAAAATATGAAGTGGAAGTTGTAAATGTATTTAAACAGGTCACGTTGATGTTTATTCAAACAAGCAGATCAAAACATTAGTCTATAAGGAAAATAAACTTGCTACAAAACGTACTTATTACAGAATAAAATGACTTTAACACCCCCCCCAATATCAGGTCAACAGCTATACAAATAAGATGGGTGGTAATTAGAACACGTCGGGTTGCCAACCTCCAGGTGGGGCCTGGAGATCTCCCAGAATTACAACTGATCTCTAGACTATCAAAATCAGTTCCCCTGGAGAAAATGGCTGCTTTGGAGGGTGGACTCTATGGCACCATACCTTGCTGAGGTCTCTCTTCTCCCCAAACTCCCCTTCCCAGGCACTGCCCCTTAAATCTCCAGGAATTTTGCAACCTGGAGCTGGCAGCCCTACCTACAAATAGTCTCTCGACCATTACGTTCACCATTCAGAGCAACGTGTTAATGCCATGCTCTTAGGTTTTATTTGGGCAGAGCTCAACAAAAGACCTACTGAAATAGAATTGATGGGACTGTTAGGTAAATAAGGCGTGAGAGAGGAAGACGAAGGCCACAGTGCTCCCCATTTAGGGCTTATTTCCGAGTCTGCATCAGATCTTCACCAAAGCAGAAGGCAAAGCCTTAGTCAGGTATCTGTGTCTGCAATATCATTGGCTCATCACTTTATATAGTGGCTATTGTCGTAGGGCTGGTGCAGAATCCTTGGCCAGAAATGAAAACATGTGTTTTGATTATGTAACGGAGGGGTGGGGGGAATGGATGCTCCAGTGCTCATGATGTTCATTTATTACAATTGAATATGGCATGTGCAAGGGGATTAGCGTCGGCAGTTGAAGCAGAAATGCAAACACAGGTTCTGAATAATGAATGTAGTTTCAGGGGTGGGGTATGGTCTGCCTCTTTCTTTGCTATGTCCATCTGCTGCTATTGTCCTAGGCTGCACTGCCCTTAAACTGCTTTGCTATTTATGTCCTCTTGGCCACATCTATAGAAAGCCTGCACCAAGTGTCTGTTTTTGCTTCGTCAGAAGTCTGAGGATCTTTTCGTATTCTAATGGCTTTATCGACGATGCAGCATATTATGAATAGAAAAGCAGTAAGAGTGGAATATAGCTGAGTGCTCTCAGTTCAGCTACATTTCTGCTATTACAGCTTTTCTACCTGGATCAGAGGATATAAAATGTTTCTTTACTTCATTTATACCCCGCTTTTCACCCCAATTGGAGCTGCGGTGGCTCAAGTGGTTAAGACGCTGAACTGCAGGCTGTGGAAGGTCAGTAGTTCAGCAGTTCGAGACCTGGGTGCCGCATGATGGAGGCTAACTCTAGGCTGGTCCTGCATTGAGCAGGGGGTTGGACTAGATGGCCTGTATGGCCCCTTCCAGCTCTGTGATTCTATGCTCTGTTGTTGGCTTTCCAGAGGAACTGGTTGGTGAGACTGTGTGAGAAAGGATGCTGGGGACTAGATGGACCACTGGTCTGATCCAACAGGGCTCTCTTCTTATGCTGTGCAGAGTCGGACAATGGCAAACTACCTCTGTCCATCTCTTGCCTTGAAAAACTTACGGGGTTGCCATAAATTCACTGTGACTCGATAGTACTACTTTCTACCATCAGTCGTTGTTTGTATAGATTAGATTACCTACATATTTTACTTTGCTTCCTTACTTTGCTCAAACACCAATTGGTTGAGAGTTTGTGGATGCGTATAAACGTTTGGAATAAATGGAGTAATTTGAAGAAAGCAGATCTTTTAGCTGGCTGCAGGCAGCACAGCTGGAGCACCAAGAGTTCCCAAATATGTTGGGGAAATAAAGGTAGATGCCATGGGATCAGGCCACAGAAGGCACTTAACTGGCTCGTTTCAGAATCTGGACTCCTAGGCTGTTGAGGAAAGCTTCGATGCATCTGTGGGCATCAAAGAGACCTTTCAGGCCAACAAAATGACAATTGAATTGGTTACCAAAGGTTACAGCTGTGACCTTGGTAACAGCACAAAGAGAAGAGAGCTGTTCTCCTTCGGGAGCTGTTTTTTCAGCAGACGCTAGCTGGGTTACGAATTGGGGATACTGTCAGTTCACAGTTTTGTAAATCTCTTTTGATGCCTGGCTAAGAGGAGGAGAGGTTAGGCTGTTACCAAGTTCAGAGACTGCCTGTAACTAAATGTACCACGTTGCGATTGCTGTGCTTTCCAAGGGATTCAAAGGCTCTAACCAATTTTTCTGCGCCTTCTTCTCAGGTGAGCATTGCAGTCAGCAAAATTTATAGAAGGCTCAAGGCTTTAAAGAAACCTCATCTACGCCGAGGAGGGTTTAAGGTAGCATTGCAGTAACTTAATCCTTGGCTGCCGTTCCATGTGACTGCCGCGATACCGAAGATCAGATTTTTTTTTTCTTTCAGCCAGCATGGGGCTGACATTCCTCCTAGCATCCTCCAACACCAGCTCCTTACACCGTTCTAACAATGGCAATGAAAAGGAGCGTAGGCAAGTTTTGTATAACTGGGCTTCGGAGGCGCGTTTGAGCATTTCCAAAGGGGAGTTAAAAGCCCTCTACTGTTGAAGAATGTAAGAACAGAAATCCCAGCTTTTGGCTCTTGGACTGGGACCTGATTCAAGGGGAGAGGACTGTACCCAGTCTTGCCAGATGTGACCAGCTGTTCCAGAAGACCCCTGAGAATCCTGGATGTCCTTCAAAGCAGCTGCAAGTTGAGCGTTCATCCATGTGTGTGTGTGTGTGTGTGTGTGATATCAGTCTGGGGATTTTGAGCAGCTTGTGGAAGCCTGAAAACGAAAGATGAGCGTCTGTGTTTGTGCTTCACCGAGGCGTGGGCTCCCTGCTTTTGTGATGCTGCATTTACAAAGCATTCATGAATGCTTTAGGCCATGACCCCTATGAGCTCAGAATGGCTAGCTGAAGATGCACGTGAGTAGCTTGTCTCCGGCTCCTATCGGGCGGCAACTGAAAGCTAAACTTTGATGTCATGGATGCACAACAGCTTCTGCTTGGGCTGCCATGGATTCTGTTCTCTCCAGGTCAATATTCCTGAGCAACCCCCCCTGCCCCGAAGAGCTTGTTAAAGCCTGTGGATATGTGATTGCCCCCGGACTATGACCACAGGAGGTTCAGGGAACCAGAGATATGTTAAATGGCACCGGGAAGACAGCGGAGAGGACTATACGAAGACCGAGGTCTACGCCGACGATGACCAGGGCCAGCCACGCCGGCTGACCCCTTTTGAGAAACTTACTCGGGATATGTCCCAGCATCAGAAGGTGGTGAAAGAATTAACTCTAGGGAAGAGGATTGGATTTTATCGCATCAGAGGGCAAATAGGGACTGGGAATTTCTCTCAGGTGAAGCTTGGGATCCATTCTCTCACCAAAGGTAGGCTGCACCAGTTTATGGCATATGTATTTGGGGGCAGGGGGTTGTGCACTGAGGCCACGGAGATGTTGACTGGTGACTGCAGGAACTAGAAGGCACTGTGCAAATAATCCTCTAATATGCTGACTCCTGCGTAAATGCTGCGTAAGAACGGGAGGCCACGGCCAGAGCTGGATTATCTCAGCCCATGTGCCTGCTCAAGCATGGAGTCTTAAAGTGGGTTAGTTATCCTCTTGCACACTTTGACTGACCTATAAGGGTAGCTAGGGAGAGGTGCCCATTGAGGATGCTCATTCTAATCATCATTGATAATTAGGAGTCTTTAGGGTGGCAGCATGGAACTCCTGTTTTAGCTTCCTCATTTGTGTGTGTTTCACTATTGCATACAGTACAGTGGGATGGTCTTATGGATGCCAGCCTCAAGGTGGGACCTGGGGATCCCCCAGAATGACAGGTGTCATCTCCAGACTACAGAGATCAGGTCCCCTGGAGAAAATGGATGCTTTGGAGGGTGGACTCTATGGCATTCGACCCGACTGAGGTCCCGGTCCTCCCCAGGCTCCATCCCCAAATCTCCAGGAGTTTCCCAACCTGGATCTGGCAATCCTCCCCCCCCACACACACACAAACACACCTCCCACTGGTGGCCAAGGGTTACCTGGCAGCCCTAAATGGACTACTTCCTCCCAATATTTGTGCGAGCGGATTTGGTCCCTGCTTCGTCAGTTTTGTTAGTTAGGATTGACTCTTCTTGTTAATAAATGAGTGTTGGTTTGAGCACAGCCATCTCTGCTGTATGAACCTGAGAGGAGAAACCTGGGTTTCCTAATCCCGATCCACATGAAAAGGGAACACTACACTCCTCCTAGATCAACTGGCCTTTATCCCATGCCAGGTCCTGAGTTTGCTTGTTCTGCAGCTTGTATATCTTGTCCACTGAATGAACTGCTCAGAGCCACCCTTTATGCGTACTTCACCCTCATGGATGCTGCTCCCTCCCCCACACGGGTCAGGACGACTGTAAAAGGTTCAACCCATGCAGAGTTTCATGCTGCCATCTTTACTTGGTGGTGGCGGAAAGTGCCGTCAAGTCACAGCTGACTTTATGGCAACCTCTTAGGGTTTTCAAGGCAAGAGAGGCCCCAGAGGTGGTTTGCCATTGCCTGCCTCTGCCTTGCTGCCTTGGACTTCCTTGGTATTCTCCCGTTCAAATGCTAACCAGGTCTGACCCTGCTTAGCTTCTGAGATCTGTTGAGATCAGACTAGCCTGGGCCATCCAGGTCACCGCTGTGAAGTGCAGTGCTTTTTCGTGTCATTTTTATAAATGGTGCCAGTACTCATAGAAAGTTGCACTGCTTTCTACCAATTTCCCCCTCAGATTTTGGGAGAGGCCCCTCCCCCCAAGGAGCTGGTACTCAGGGCCAGTGAGCACCACCACAGAAAAGACAGAACAAAAAACTTTGGGAAAATGTCTTTCCTCCTGCACAACCAATCCGTCAACCGTCCTATGAGTCTAATTCCCCCCACCGTGATTTATTGACTGAGGGGGGAGGTGAAACAGGGATAGACAGAGTTTTCCTTCCCATAATTCCCACAATCAGACATTTTAAGGGTGTGACGGTTAGAGCCAAGGCCACCCTCCTTTCCAGTATCTACCAATCCCCTTTGTAGCCTGGTGGTCTGGAGAGAAAGACAGAAAACCAGTCAGGGTTCTTAGAACACTTGGAGGGATGGGGAGGAACCAGAAAAAAGAGGAAGTCTGCGGTTTAATGGAGCTTTGAGTCAAACAGGGTTGAGTGGTTCCTTAGGCAGGTTAGGGATCTTGCTCTGTCTTTATTCTTCTCAGGTGGAAGTAGACTATTTAGTGTGGTGGCCACACTGGTTGATGGATCTCGCATGCAGCCTTTCTAGAGGACTGGAAAGTTATTGGGGCAGGCTGAGGTCACCATTTTAGGAAGCCTCTAGGAGCTTGGCAGTTCTTGGCTAACTCACCACTCTACACTTCAGTGCTATCAAGTTGGTCTTTAATGTCCCCCGTTTACTTCCCATCCAGTAAATAAAACTTTTTTGTGTTTTCAGTCTCTGTTTTCCTCCTTGGTATGAAAGACAGCAAAGTTTGTAATTGAGTTTACCAAGTAGGGTTGCCAAGCACTGGTGGGCCCAGTGTCCCAGGAGAAAAAATTTAAAAAGAAAAGCAAGGCCTTGTCTACTTACAGGAAGTTCTGGCCATAGAATTCCTGGCGATTCCTAGAGCTACCCAGAAGTGACAAGGGTAGTTCTAGCAATTCCCAGATATTCTATGGTAAGATTACCATACTAGAACTAGAGTTCTTCAGATGCAATTCAGAAGTGGGCTCTAGTCCAAAAAAGCTTGCACTTGAATAAAATTGTGTTAGTATTTAAGGGGCCCCAAGACTCCTGTTTATTTTTGCTGTGATAGGCTAACATGGCTACTCCTCTGGTAAGGTTAGGGTAAGGTTGTCTAGTTATTAAATAATACTTATCAGGGTTGCCAGCTCTGGGTTGGGAAATACCTGCAGATTCTGGGGAATGGAGCCTAGGGAGGGCAGGGTTCTGTGGAGAGAGAAGGGACTCCAGCAGGAAACAATGCCACAGAATCCACTCTCCAAGGTTGCCATTTTCTTCAGAGCAACTGATCTCTGTAGCCTGTAGATCAGATGTAATTCTAGGAAATCTCCAGGTACCATTGGGAGGTTGGCAACCCTCATTGTTATCCCTATGGCGGTGTTAAGAAAAAGGGCTTTTTGTGGTGGTAGGGAATACTGTGTAAATGGGTATAAGTAAAAGAAGGCTGGACTTTGTAGGGCCCAGTGGTTGAAAAGAATAAAAAGCATTTGAGATGACCTGAGACTTCAGTCTTGAGGCAGCCCTAATGTAATGCAGGTAATAATCTCTTCAGGGCTGAGCTTGTTGTTCTGATCTGGTTTCTCAGGGAGCCTCACATAACCCATTCTCTCACCTGCATAATTTAACAAAGGGAATCCTGTATCCGTTACTGACTTTCTCTCTTTGTCTGTCCTGTCGCCATCTGTAACTATACCTGCAAGCCCCACTGAACACGTTTTCGGATTCACTTCTGAGCAAGAGAAAAGAGCAAGAGACCCATAGCACCAGTTTGGTGTAGTGGTTAAGTGCGCGGACTCTAATCTGGGAGAACTGGGTTTGATTCCCCACTCCTCCACTTGCACCTGGCTGGATGACCTTGGGCAAGCCATAGCTCTGATAAGAGCTGTTCTTGAAAAAGAGCAGTTTCTGTCAAGAGCTCTCTCAGCCCCACCTACCTCACAGGGTGTCTGTTATGGGGAGGGGAAGGGGAAGGCGTTTGTAAACCGCTCTGAGACACCTTTGGGTAGTGAAGGGCGGGGTATAAATCCAATCTCTTCTTCTCTTCTTCTTAAAGACTAACAAAATTTGTGGCAGGATATGAGCTTTCGTGAGTCGCTGCACTGGCTCTTTTCTGCTGCTATGGAGTAACACAGCTGAGGAGGGCGGGGTATAAATGCAATTAAATAAATAAATAATAAATAAATAAATAAAGACATGCGCCTTTTAACAGCTACAACTTCTCCCACAGCTAGGCTGGGGTCAAATGTACTAGCTCTTAATTTTATTCCTTTTCAGTATCTAGGGTTGCCAGGTGCCCCCCCCTCCCCCGCCATCAGCAGGGGATGGAGGGGTAGGGTTGCCAGGCCCAGGTTGGGAAACTCATGGAGATTTGGGGATGGAGTCTTGGGGAGGACAGGGACCTCAGCGGGGTACAATGGCATAGAGTTCTCCCTCCAAAGCAGCCATTTTCTCCAGGGGAACTGATCTCTCTAGTCTGGAGATGAGCTGTAATTCTGGGGGAGCCTCAAGTCCCAACTGGAGGCTGGCATCCCTATCAGTATCTCTCAAATTGGACATACAAAGCTGCTTTATACTCAGGTTCTTGGTCTATCTAGGTCAGTCTGGTTCACTGTGGATGGCAGTACCTCTACAGGGTTTCAGGCAGAGGTCTTTTCGCCTGTAGATGCTGGGGATTGAATCTGCCACTTTATGCAGAAATAGTTTTGGCCACCTTAAAATTTCAGTGTAAAAACCATTCTCCTTTTTGGCCTTGATTCTAGTACCTCAGGGTCAGACTACTGTTTCAAGGTGAATTACAGAAATGAAATAAGAGCAGAAGGAAAGCAAAGTAACAGTAACTACAGTAACAGTTGCTGAATTAACATTAACTTCATTATCAGTTGTTGAATTGCAAGTGATAATGAAGCTCAAGAAAATGCATCCACCTGGACTGAATTGAAACCAAGGTTTCCTGTATCATTACCAAAGCTGATTTCTCCACGCCTCCTATCCCTCTGCATATCACACCTAATCCAATCATGCCTGTTGTCGTCATTCACTGGCTATTGTCACTAGACTGCTAATTTGCCAGCATCTCCATGAGCAGTAACTCACAAAAGCTCATACACTGCTACCGATTTTGTTAGTCTTTCAGGTGCTACTGGATTCTTGCTCCTTTCTACTGCTACAGACAGACTACGGTTGCGGCCACACGCACCAGAAAAGGGGGGGGTGAGGCTATTTCCTCTGGAGGAATTTGACCCTCAGTTGCACAATCACACCTCCCTTTGAAGCTGCGGGCACAGGCCATCAGTGTGTAATCAGATGCAGCTATGAGTGAGTAATTTTTTTTGTGCCGTTTTCCCCCCATGCGCTTAACTGAGGGATCGATGAATCGCACCTCTGCACCAAGGGCTCCCTATGGAGTTTGCAATGATGCGCATACTGCGAAGGGGGAAAAAACAACGGCACGGAGTCAGGATGGCCTGATCAGACCATTCTGAAGCCAAGAGAGCACGCTGGAGTGATCAGACACGGGAAAGTCCATCCGTGGCCGGTCGCAACCCATTTCCTACTGGATTTCCCTCCGGTGTCTTTTAACTCTGCTTCTGCGGTGGAGCAGAACGGGTTGCCGATGGCTGCGGGGCACTTCC